TCTGGTCTGAGAACCAACAAGCTAGCTTTGAGAAACTGAAGATTGTTCTAACTCAAGCCCCAGTACTGATTCAGCCTGAATCTGGGAAAGATTTTTCTGTCTACAGTGATGCTTCTCACTCTGGATTAGGATGTGTTTTGATGCAAGATAGAAAGGTTGTCGCTTATGCTTCGCGTCAATTAAAGTCGCATGAGCGTAACTATCCTATTCACGATCTGGAGTTAGCTGCCGTAGTTTTTGCTTTAAAGATCTGGATACACTACCTATACGGAGAAAATGTTATATTTATACTGATCATAAAAGTTTGAAATATCTGCTTACTCGGAAAGAATTGAATTTGAGACAGCGTCACTGGTTGGAGCTTCTAAAGCACTATGACTTGGAGATAGAATATCATCCAGGAAAGGATAATGTAGTGGCAGACGCCTTAAACCGTAAGGTGATATCAGATCTCAGAGCCTTATTCGCCAACTGGAGTCTATTTGATGATAATAGTCTGTTAGCGGAGTTGCAGGTTAAACCTACTTTGGCCGAGGAGATTAAGACCAAACAACTTCGAGATAGCTCATTGCTTTCCATTTTTGAGCAAATTAAACAAGGATCGAGTTCAGAGTATACTGTGGATTAGGATGGTATTTTGTGTTTTTACGGTCGTTATTGCGTTCCTAAAGATGATGAATTGAGACGGGTTATTCTTCAACAGGCTCATAGTAGTCCTTATGCTATGCATCCTGGCGGGGACAATATGTACAATAATCTCAAGGAGCGTTACTTTTGGGCTGGTATGAAAAAGAATATTTCAGATTTTGTGGCGAGGTGTTTGACTTGTCAGCAGGTTAAAGCAGAACACCAGCATCCATCTGGATTATTACAATCAATTAAGATTCCTGAGTGGAAATGGGAGCGCATTACGATGGACTTCGTTACTGGTCTTCCTCTGACTTCTAAAAAAGATTCTATTTGGGTGATTGTTAATCGACTCACTAAATCAGCGCACTTTATCCCTATCCGGATTAATTATTCTTTGGACAAACTGGCTAAGTTGTACATTTCTGAGATCGTTAGACTTCATGGTGTTCCGTTGTCTATCATATCTGATCGAGATCCGAGGTTCACTTCTAGGTTCTGGAAGGCTTTGCACGAGGCTTTGGGTATTCATTTGAATTTTCAGTACATTTTTTCATCCTCAGACTGATGGACAGTCTGAGCGAGTAATTCAGGTGTTGGAGGATATGTTACGGGGTTGTGTGATTGATTTTCGTGGTAGTTGGGAAGACTTCTTGCCATTAGCTGAGTTTGCTTACAATAATAGTTACCAGGAAAGTATTCGCATGACACCATACGAGGCTCTGTATGGACGTAGATGTCGTATTCCTATATGTTAGATAGAGTTGCATGATAGAAAAACTTTGGGTCCAGACTTGGTTCGAGAGACTAAAGATACTGTCAGACTGATCCGTGATCGCTTAAGAGAGGCATTTGATAGGCAGAAGTCATACGCAGATAAGCGACGTAAGGATATCGAGTTTGAGGTTGAAGATCAGGTTTTTCTTAAGGTATCTCCATGGAAGAAGGTATTGAGATTTGGACGTAAAGGTAAACTGAGTCCGAGATTTATTGGGCCGTATCGTATTCTGAAGAAAGTCGGACCTGTTGCTTATCAACTTGAGTTGCCTCCCTAGCTCAGTTGTATTCATGATGTTTTTCATGTGTCTATGTTGAGGCAATACCGTCCAGATCAAGATCACATCATTCAAGTTGATGAGGTAGAGCTGAGACCTGATTTGTCATTTGAGGAGGAGTCTGTTCAAGTTTTAGAGAGAGATGAGTGAGTTCTTCGGAATAGGCGTATTCCAATTGTCAAAGTTCAGTGGAGTAATCGTAGCCCCTCAGAAGCTACTTGGGAGACATTGGAGTCAATGGAGGTTCAATTTCTTCATCTGTTTTCATAAGGCTCGATAGTGTTTTTTTAACACAACCGCTTAGAAAATCCTAAATTCATCGCCGATCGTCGCTCCATTTACGACACCTCCCGCACTATAGTGTTTCTTGTGCCGTTCCGAGTCCGTCGGTGTCATCCTCGGTCTCCGTCGACGGCGGCGCGTGGGGAGGTGAAGCGGTCAAAGTTTTTGATTTGATGAAATCGAGCTCTCCGACGTTCAAAAATTTGAACCGATCTTTGTAAGTATCTCGAAATCGCTCAAAATAATTTTTAGAAATTTTTCCGTGAATTTTACGCAGCCAGAACAGCCCTCAAGCGCCCCCACGCGCCGCCGCTACGCGTGGGGAAGGCTAAAATAACCGTTTAACCGGTTTTGACCCGACCCGTTGACCCGACCGTTGACTGTTGACCCGACCGTTGACCGGGTGATATTTTGGGAATTAATTCGAAATGGGTGCTATTCTGGGAATTTAATTCGTAAAGGTGCTATTTTGGGAATTTAATTTGAAAATGTGCTATTTTGGTAATTATTTTAAAAGGGGTGCTATTTCTGTAAAATGGTTGACAGTTTGTTGACATCCTTTGACCAGAACTTTGACCGGCTTTGACCGGGCATTAAACAACCTTTGATTTTAACCGAATATACCTATCTGACATTTTTCGACGTCTCAAATCCGAATCCGAAGTTCGTTTCACCAAATTCGAACCCGAAAGTCTCCAAATTGTCAGTCAAACCCTTTGACTTTGATTTTGACCAAGAATTTAAATATCTGAAAGGTCATACTTTATGTTTTTCGACGTCCTGAATCTGATTCCGAAGTCCGTTTTGCCAAATTCTGACCCGAAATTCCCGAATCGAGCTTGTAAACCCAAAAGGCTTTATATTTTAATATTTTGATTATTTATTTGTGATTTGGTTAAGGAATTGATTCAATAAAAATATTTTATGAAGGTACTTGTGTTTCACTTGAGCAAGGATCAGTTAGGTCTGGTGTTGTACGTTCGTTAGATTAGCATGAACCGCGTACTACGAGAGTTACCCGTAGGTTTTCGTATATTATTTAAATAATATTTATATTATTTATATTAGGATTCCAATATGGATTTTTCTGATTTGTAGGATCTAGCGCTGCAGCAGAGCGTGATCGACAAACCCAGTAATAGGATTCCCTATCTGATTTCTCAGACTGTTACAGGCGTGTTTACTGACGGTGTTATCTTACTGTTTTAAACTATCATATAAATGGTTTCAAATTTATGATGATGTTGAATATTATTACAACATGATACATGTTTTATGAATACTGGTTACCGACACCTGATTTACCGAATATTACTGATCTGACGTATGGTTTATGTAATTTCTGCATATGATTTCTAAGCATGAACCATTTTCATGTTTTAATTGATTAATATTTATTTCACCTAAATACATACATGTTTATTTTTGTCACTGGGATAATATTGAGGGAAGTATTTCAGGCTCCTTTGCTGTGTGCTCAGGGTAAGTCCTTACTGGTGTGCAGGTGGGTGTATGGTTCTGGGGAACCTACACATTGTAGTGATTGGAGTGACTGGATGGGGAAGTTATTACTGCAGGCTCATTTGCTGTGTGCTTAAGGTAAGTCCTTACTGGTGTGCAGGTGGGTGTATGGTACTGGGGAACCTACACATTGTAGTTATGGAAGCGACTGGATGGAGACGTTATTACTGCAGGCTCCTCAACTTCGTGCTTAGGGTAAGTCCTTACTGGTGTGCAGGTGGGTGTATGTTTCGGGGAAATATATAAAAAATAGAAACCAGAATGATTGAATGGAAATAATGTTCATATTTTAAAATATGTTTGATAACCGATTTTATTAGAATATTTTATTCGTATGTTTTTATGCACTGTTTGGAGCACACTGGGCTTTTTAGCTCATTTTATAGTTTTTAACTTTTTCAAATAACAGCAGACCGTAAGCTAACAGGTTTGGCATCAGGGAGATCAACTACTTATTTTGTACGAACGTATATCTCTATATGTTTCTCAGTTTGTGTTTGGTGACATATATTACTATCGTTTTGAATATATTTGTATTATTTATATTTTGTTCTGTATTATATCTAATGTATTAAAAGTTGTTTAAAAAAAAACAATCTCTGAATGGGATATGTGACCACTTGGATTTGGGTCTAACTTATAGACTGGGTCTGGAGGGTTACAATACTAGTCCCTGTTATTTGTCAAGTATTGCAGGAAAGAGGCACAAAGCAACCAAGATTCAGAGAAGAGTGAGCAGCATTGCTTGCACAAGTAAAATTTAGAACACTTCCTATTGACTAAATAGGCATGTTTGCATCACCCTATTGTCATTGAAGTTCTCTACATTACCAGAACAACTTATTCAGAATTTTTGGGTATTCCTAGATGGTTGCACATAGGACTCTTTTGCCCTTTTATCCTTGTAACTTGTCAATCATAAGAGTTTCAAAAATTTTCACACCTATCCTTGACAAGTTCACTTGTGAAATGCTGATTGTAAGAAGCTTGTAAATAAGTTGACTATGTTATCCAACACTTTCCTCCGTTTTGAGTAAAATTCCAACGAGATTTAAGGACTCAAATACCAGAACTCCATTGGGGTATTGTGGAGCCCACTTAGGCATATCTAGACTTTTCTCTGTTAACACGGTGTTTTATTTACTGCCACAGGTGGGTTTATTAAAGGTCCATATTACACCCATGTAACCTAGGCATGGCAAGACCTTGATTTATATCTTGCAACAACCCCAACCCCCAAAGAACCCCTCCACCCACCACAATACAAAAACAAGAAATAAGTGCACTAGGAAAATTGATATCATATCATACCTACAGTGCACATCCAGCTAATCATGGACCTTTTGCATATGAAGTGATGAAAACTTGAACAATTCTTGAGCATTGAGAAAAAAATTACTCAAGTTGAGGCTATATCACCATTTTAAGGAAATTACAGCAAGGATTACATCACTCATTTTACAGTTGTATTGAAATTTATTTCAATTATAAATATATATATATATATTTCATCCCCTAAATTAACTGTTGAAGGTAATGAATACAACAATATAATGCAATCTCAAAACCTAAATAAAGCAATATAAAAATGAAAAATACCAGAGTTTTCACCCCATTTGTGACACCAGGGGTAGGATCTGAAGGCTCAGCATCTGTAATAGGCCTTTCCAAAGGTGCAGCATATTTTACAAATGGGTGGACTAAAAGCTGAACTGCAGTAGGACGATTTAGTGGGTTGCGTTGCAAACACAGACGCACAAAATCTTTTCCTTCATCTGAGAGGTAATCTGGAATGGGTGGAAGTTCCTTGCTATTACCAATCTTGAACATAGCCGCAACCTGACATACACATTTCACAAAATAAGTAGGAAAAGAAACAGCTATTGTTAGAGGCACATTAAACATCTTTGAAATTTAAAATTTCCCATCTTTCTATTCTTGTAAGTTATAACAGACCCCTTCATATTGACTCCAAGGAGGTTTTGTTGTAGCCATTTCCAAAACAGTGCATCCAAGACTCCATATATCCACAGCAAGGTTGCAACAGCTAGGGTTTCTTATAATCTGGGGAAATAATAGGAAAAAAAATTGAGATGCATTCTAAAGCAAACTTCACAACTGAAGAAAGCTCAACCATAAAAACCACATAATTTCCTCCTTTGTGATGGATTAGTACTAAAAACTTGAAATAAACCCAATGAGAATAATAAGTCTAACCTCAGGTGCCAGCCAGTAAGGGCTTCCTTTAAATGAAAGTGGACAGGGCTGACCTGCAATCTGCAAAGCATACATTATATGCAGGAAATATCCTTACAGAAGAAGTCTAATCAATGAATAATAATATAGCATTAAATAAGTCATATTTGATCTTCAAACTTGGGTTAGCTATCATTGCTTTTTTGGCAAAAGGGCTAGGTACAACTTATTCTGATTAAGATCATTTATAAAAAAAGGTAATTACTCCCAGACTTACATGCTTTGCCATCCCAGAGTCTGCCAATTTAACTCGACCATTAGGGTCTACCAATATGTTAGCTCCTTTAATATCTCTGTACAAGAAATATTTTCCTTGATGCAAATATTAGTAGACTGATGCCATGAAGTTGTAGTTCTAACATATCAGATAAGGAATAGATAACCTGACTCACCTATGGACAGTAGACTTGGAATGTAGGTAGGCAAGCCCAGACAAGATCTGTTGGGTGTAACTGTGAATTGCTAATTCACCAAGCTGCCCATAGTCCTGGAGGATTTTATAAATAGACCCACCAGTTGTACTCAAGGTATATGTAAAGTTTGTCATCAACCTGTTCAGGAATTTATCCGAAAGCTAAGAGAAGCATGAAATTAATTTGCCCCTATCCATTTTTTTTGTAAGAAATTGCTTAACGAGGAACAGTGTTTTGTGGTTAGTAAGTGACCATAAAATCAATTCCCAAAAATTTCTTAACATTATATGGTTCACTATTTCTTAATATATAAACGAATAACTCTTCTAGAAAGAACTCATTAGTCAATGCAGCTTCCTAATACCTCAATAACAGTTTTCAATAACCATGCATGATGTAAAGGCCAATAAAATAGATTGTTGGACATGGGACACACCTTTTCAGACCCATAGTATTGCACGATATTTGGATGCTGTAAGCGGCTCAATAAAGCAATTTCCTGTTAGAGAAATAAGAAAATGAGTTTCTTTCAAAGCTATAACCAAATTAAAGAATAACAAGGAAAACATTATTTCGTTTTGCATTATCTGGAGTTCTGGACAATTGAAAACTTCTTGAGCTGATGGACAATTGGCTTACCTGCATCAACTGCTTAGCACTTTCTTTTGACTTGGCATCATCAGAAAATAAGGTAACCTCTTTCATTGCGCACATCTCACCACTCTCACTGATTGACGTTGAAAATAAAATCAGATATAGGCATAGTAACAAAAGGCAATCACCAACAAATATGTCAAAAGAGCAGACATGCAGAAATCGTCAGATCCCAGCTGGTTTAATATATGAAGTAAGATATTGCAAGAATCACATTGTATTGATAAAATAGTATAAACGCTGAAACATAAGTCTCAATCAATAATCTCAAATATGGACTTGCAAAAGGCATAAACCACTGGGAAACAGATGTCATTTTTAAGAAAGGAAATTAAACAACTATTCCTTTGGACGATTATACCTGTTAAAACCAACATAAACATGACCAAATGTGCCTCTACCCAGTAGCTTTCCTTTTTTCCACCGTGACCCCTGGTTTACAAGATTCTCTGGTCCTCCTGGACTTCGGGGCACAGAGGGAGGTGTCGCTGCTGAATTTGAATGCGAGAGAGGAGAAGAAATGGAAATCGTACCAACCAGTATGTGACTCAGTAGCTGTGCATGCAGATCTAGGATGAATAGGAGTGACAGCCCCACTATGAATTCTAGAACTGGGACCAGTACTGGTCATCCTAGGACTAGGTATTGGAGAATACTCAGGGCTGCCCCTACTTGGTTGCCAAAATAGTTGTCCTGACATATCCCCACCCATTGAATTATGCCCAGAGTTCTGACCTGATCCAGGACTGGAGCAAGGGCCAGATCCAAGCAAAGTGACATCAGTATAAGTCTTTCCTGCCCAGAAAGGAGAGTTCATTACTTGCTCTGTGGCAAAAGCTCTCATTGGGCTTCTAGAAGGACTTGACATGGAGCTGTCAGGAGCGCTGCTGAAAGCACCATGATGTGGGATCTGTATATTTGCCACATGATTGCTCAAAGGTCTTCTTTTAGGAGTTTTCGGAGAGATATTATTACCAAATGAAATGTTAGCTTGTTTTCTACCCTCTCTTGTGTTATTTTGGCTGACCGTAGAGGATTGATCCTCGAGCATCACGCTTCAAACAGAAAATAAGTACAATTTTGTTAAGGGTGAGCTTTTTTTACCAAACAGGAGAGAGAAGAAAACCAGAAGTAAAACATAAAATACCAACTTGTTTTGGCAATAACACATCCTCATTCTAGCACTAACAAGAAACAAATAGGCTCACCTAGAAGGGCTGCTTGCAGCAATTCTAGTCCCATTGTCATAATCAGTTGCTTGCAGACTACGATGATGTGAGTTGGTGGGATCGTCACTTTCAGTGGAGCTCTCACTGCAAACTGAAGCAGTAGCGTAATCTCCGTCTATGTCATTAGGATTTAGTCTATGTCATTAGGATTTAGTCTATGACATATGCATCTAGGTCGTGGAAGAGGCAGAAATAATGATGACTTGGAGCCTTTTCCTGGCCTTGATTTTGATGATATACTGATTCCAGAGCCTGTACGACCCACTATCGCAGGATGCTGATCAGGAAGTGGCAGTGGCTGAGCATGAGGCCTTTCAACAAAACTTTGACACCTAGAAACCTGTTTAGAGGGTAAGGGAGACCTAGATTCTGCGCAGGATTGGGATCTTTTTTCTAAAATTGTGTCATTGCCATGTCTACGTGATACTCCTGACCCACAGTTTGGTTTACCTTCTGAAGAAATCTTAAATTTTCGGTGTAATGTATCAATGAGACTTTCCTTATTTGTTTTCTTCTTCACTTCTTTGGATGATAACTTTCCCCACCATGAAGGCATGTTTCAAACTTTTATGGTCTGAGGTGACTACTTGGCAAGTTTTTCTAAAGCAAATTCATTTCCAAATATTGAAACTGTAGAGCTTGGCAACAATAAAATGTTCAGTTCTTTAATCCAGCATTCAATTCACAATAGAGAGGCTTTGAAGAAGTATGTAATTTGCGCTGGAATCCTATGAGATTCACACCAACAGCATAAACTATAGTCTGCAGACAAAAAAATTAAAGTGCAGAGGAAAGACTAAATACTTAGTGTTCCTCAAACCATTTGCACATGTTCAACAACTATCAGAATATCAGAGTACACATCGATTACCTACTTTGAGCATTTATACAGGCAAAGATAACATTCTTTTTTTCCTTTTTCATGGCAAATTAATGCATATGTTTCTGTCAATACATGTTTGTCTATCCTCTATAACAAAAAATTTCATCGGATAGATTGAAACAATATATATCAAGCCACAAAGAAACCATGGCATCTCAAATTTCTTAATTACTACACGAGATGCATGCCACTAAAAGATTTAGAACAGACATTATTATAAATCTGAAACCAATTCTCTTAAACCTCAGTTTGTTCAGTCTTCAGCCTTTGGTGTTTCTCAGATAACCTCTTTAGGTCCCAAAAGTACATGGTTCACACCGTTTCACTTCTACTTCTTTGAGAACACCGAAGCAGAAAACATTTTTTACATCACAAATAAAACAATAGAAACTATAATAAAAGGATAATCACCAATGTAGAAAGTTTTCATTTTGCTAAGTTTTGTGATTCTTTAGGTTTATAGGTTGTGTCTTGATCGGGTCTCGGCTGATTTTCAGCTTCCTATGTTGGTCGTCCTTGTAATCCACTGTTTAGTGGTTTTACATCTTATTAATAAAATAACTATATTGCTGAGGAAAACATACACACAAACTGAAATTCAATACCAATCCGCAACAAACATTTCCAAAAATCCGTATTATAACCTAAAAACACGAGTGTGAATTTCAAACTTTTTGATTGTTGACAACGTGATTTAATAACTTTTTCTTTTTCCTCCCCAATCGTCTCAGAAACCAAACAAGAAATTACGATCTGAGAAGTGCTCAAACAGGATGTTCCAACCAACAGATCTACATACAAACTCCAACGAACACCGTAATTAACTGAGAAATAATGGCTAAAGAATATTGCTAAACATGAAATAAAACAAAATAAAACAAAGAGAAAGGAACTTACATTGCGAATCTGAGCTCCAATCAACTAAAATATTTGAGGAAATAGAGAGAAAATTTTGGCTTATATCATCCAATAAACCTCCATTTAAGAAGCAAAAACCATAACGGACTATTTAAAATAAACCCTAGAAACCTAAACTGGAAGAGATGGATTTGTCAAAGAAGAAATAACTTTTTTTCATTTCAGCTTTAGTGAAAACTGCGTAGATGTGTGAGTTTAGAGATGGAGTTGTCTGAACGTTGAATTTAGAATATTAAAAATAAATTTTATTAATCATAAGATAAAAAATATTTTAATAAATTTTATAAAAATATTTAAACACATATTTTCTGTAATTCGAGAGTTTGTTTTAGTGATATTAAGTTACTTGTTATTTGAATCAACTTATAAACTCAAATTTCTGAGTTTTCTTAAATGATATCAGATTATTTATCACTTAAACAAACCCTATCGAAGATCATTCTTAAATTTTGACTTAATATAATTAAAGGTATTCGAATTATACTCTTTTTATTATTATTTAAGTGTCTAAACTTATTTTGGTCAATATATGCGTTTATCGTTATAAAAAATATTTTTTAAATGCCTTAATTTTTTATCTATCAATCTTTTATATTCAGGGCAAATTATAAATTTAATAATTAAAGTATCTGATTACTTCTATTTTATTATTATACTTTTATTTTTTTTAATTTAATAATTAATATATTAAATTTTTTTTATTTTTTATATACCATATCATAACTTATTAATATTTTAATACTACGCAAGATTATAATAAAAAAATAAATTTCTAAATTACACACTCAAATCTTAAATCCTCAACTTATAGTATAAACTTTAAACCTCAAATTGTAACTCTCGTCTCACCCTCACTCTTGACAGTCTTATCCCCATCGGCGCACGGTGACTCATCGCGATTTGATTTTAAAAGATTCAAAAATTGATCATCTAAAATTTTAACATATTTAGATTTTTTTTAGATTCATATATTCAACACATTATTTAAAGGTTTGAATTTAGATTTTTATGAATAAAAATATTAAAAGGTAATAGTATTTTATTTATATTTGAATAACAATACTCAAATAATTTGTAGATAAAAACATATCTTTTATACATATTTATTTTATAGATTCACATTCATATAATCAAAATAATAGAGATATCTAATAAGTTGTTATTCCTAAATATTATATTATCTATTGTGTCAGGATTTAATAATAAACAAATGATTTTAGTGATAAAAGTGAAAATCGGTTTTTTCAAAAATCTTGATTTAAATAAATATTATTTTGTAATTATCTTAATATATTCAAAATAAATTTGTGAATAATATTATTATTTTATATAGTTTTACTTTGACTTTACATTTTTATAAAATATATGTTAGATAATCTTATATGTCCATAATAAACGTCAATATCTTACGTTTTAACTAAATGAACCAAACATTAATATTAACAACTTGATAATCCGTTAAATAACTTTACTTTTTCAATAAACATGTTAGTAAAACAATTTCCATTCCACGAACCCAACACCTTATATTTAAAAATAATTACGTAATTTCCCTCTACTTCATTTTTAAGTTAATTTGTAATTTTTTGATCTAAACATAATTTTTTTGGGGATAAATTTGGGGTGAATGTAAGGTATTCAAAAACTCTTAATCGTTTGATAATAAACGCTCAAATCCCTATTATATATAATGTTTAGAATTCGAGATCTCAAAAAAAATAATATCTTAATCATTAAAATCGTTTAGTCTATACACTTAGTATAACTTAGATCTCAATTTATTCTATTTTTTGTAAAAGCTTAACCACCAATGAATCAATTTCTTTTATTATAAAACTCGGCAAATCAAATTAAAGAAATCTATCAATAATTGATTAGTCTAGTGGGATGAAACACTAGTTGTTTTAAGCAAGGTCAGATGTTCGAACTCTGACATTTACGAATAGAACAAAGTGGGTTGAGAAAGTCACTTTTATTTCTACAGTATCTTATCTGTATTAGTCTATCAACAGATCGAGTGATTAATTTAAGAAAAATTAAAGAAATCCGTTTTTTATTTTTCAAAATTACGGAATGTCAATCTATCTTGGATTTCTTTTATCCTTAACATTTTAATTAAAGGGAAAAGGCGGCTTCATTTATTTTTGTCGGCAGGAAAATAATTTCACGTGCGTTGAAAATTAGTGTGATATTTCTTAATAAAATTGTCTTTATTTCAAATACATATAAATATGGAACTGGTGGGCGGCAAAGTCGTGCAATTTTCTTACTATAAATAAAAAATCTTTCTGCTGATACATGTAGATATTTGTTTTCGTCCCAACTTTATTTCAAGTTTTCATTTATAAGTTTTTAACATTTAATTTTATTTTAATCTCTTTTTAGTTAATAATAGTTATTTTTAATATTGATATTAAATAAATTAAAACTATTAATGTAATTAATCTTAAATTATAAATACATGAATGTAAATATTTAAGCGTACTAATATGGTTTTTATTTCTTTGGCAATCCCCAACAGGCCCTATTTGCAAGCGACCAAAATAAAATTAACATAACAGATCCAATCAGATAGTCCAGCGCCAAATTGCAGTCCACAGGCTAACCCATCTCCCAACGAAGACAAATCACAACTGCCCAAATGTTTCAAAGATGGCCTAAGGATTTTAATTGCAACCGGCCCTATACACTAAAGACCGACCGTGGAAGCCTGCCTGATGAGATTAAAGTTTCTAATGACCCTTCAACATCGCCTAACAATGACCATTGGATCTAGGAGAGATCGTACGACTCAGATTTGTTAAAAATAGGGCTAAAGAAACCCTAGCTGTTATCATTCATCAATTGCCAACAACAACAGGGGATACCACGTCGTCGAGCACCATTTGCATGCCAACAGCAGGATTGTTAGTCCTCCTTGTACATAGGAGTGTTCATTCGGTGGCCGAACCGACCGAATTACTATTTTCGAATTAACCGATTTTTTTTTCTTTAACCGTTAATCGAACCGAATTTTTTTTCGAAAATATTAACCGAACATAATAAATTTCGGTTAATTCGGTTAATTTTCGAAATAACCGAAATTTTTTAGAATTTTAGATTTTAATATTTTTTTAATTAAAAAAACAATTTACAATTAATTTAAATAATATCTAATTATAAATAATATCTAATTAATTTGATTCAAACATTTTGCATTTAGTTTTGATATTATTTTAATTAATTAATATTGATTTGGGTTTTAAATGGATTGGGCCTCTTAATATAATTATATTTAAAGGTTAATTCGGTTAATTCGGTTAATTAACCGATTTCGAACCGAATTAACCGTTAACCGAATTCCAAAAAAATCTTTAACCGTTCCTCGACCGAATTAACCGAACTAATTCGGTTCTGTCGATTAATTCGGTTAAAACCGAATTTTGAACACCCCTACTTGTACACTCGTAATCGTTTTCGACAATACTCACAACAGTAGCAGGGGCTTCTCGCTCATTCCTGGGATCACTAGTCCCTATCCTTATGCCACGCTAGTTGTGTCGACACACTATTTCGTCGCCTTTTTATATGTTACATAATTATAATATTTATATATTATATTAATTACATATATATTTATTATTTTATTTGTTTACAGATTGTAGGCCAAAAACTCGGTACAAAGAGGGGCAGCTGCCCAAAACCCAGGTGCTACACGTTGACCCAACACCTAGTAGCCCAGTGGCCCACAGTGAACCCAAACTGCCCCAACAACACGCGACCCGACTAGAGCCCGAATCGGCCTAGATCTAAATGGGTTAGGGTTTCAAAACCCTAACCCACTTTGCTTCCAACCACTTCTCACCCCAACGCCGCAACATCTTCTCTTGTTCGAAGTCCCCATACAGCCGTAGCCCACGTTCGAATTTCACGGCGTCAACATCACCACCAACAAACATGGATGCATGGAACACAAAGACACCAACAAAGCAAGAGTTTCACTCGGAATCAAACACTCAAAATAGTCTAAAAATAGGGATTTTTTTACCTATAAATAAGTGTAAATCGAACACTATTGTACTCATGAAATACACACGAGATTACACTAAAAAATACTCAGAAAATAAGGAATATGTGGGAAAAATCAAAAGCCGAACCTTGTAATCGTTTCAAGAAGAAATAAAAAGGTGGAAGTTTTTACCTTTCTTTTTTCTTTTTCACTTGCATGCGTCGTTTTCCTGTTGTTTTTACTTGAAAAAAAACAAAGAAAAGGTTAGCTGAGGAACAAAAGGGGGAGTTTTTTGAAACTTCTTTCCTAAATCTACTCTCCCCGAGCCAGAGGGTTCGCGCGTTTTTGTTTAAAAATGGGGAAATTCCCACTTCAATCCCCCTGTTTTTAAATCTCTCATTATGCCCCTAAATTCTCATTTTTTCTTCGATTGACTTTGAAATTAACCCTCAAATTTAGTTTTATTACAATCCAATCCTTTTATAATTAATATATATGCTTTTATTTGTCTTTTTA